AAATATAATAAAATTTATGGATAAATAAATGATTATGAAATCGAACGCTATTTTGCTTTATTGCTGCTGTTTCCTAACTTTAATGTATAATTCATACATTTTATTGCCCAATTAATGCTTTGATTTATAGTAAAACTGAGTTATGTTTTAGTGAATAGGCTATGCCTATAGCCATCGGATATCAAACTAAAAAAACAAGTATTATTACTGCGCTAAATTATGATATTTCTAAGCAATATCTATTTTATGGTGGAATGATTGATTAAGACATTCTCATTGGCTTATATGATAGCAAGGAAAATATCAACAGAGTAGTTTGGCAAAAAATTTATCAATTATCTAATTCATTTTCTTTGCCTAGGATTGGTCTAATGCGCTAAAGTATTTCTGCAGTTTAAACTTTGAGAAATAAAGCCGACTCTGTTTATGCTTTAGTAAGAACTGAATCTTCTGAATCCGTACAGTAAGGGTATTTTTATCTCATGAAACTTGATTATATTGGAGTCTTAATAGATAGCCTGTAAATCGAGAGCTAACTATACAATTTGTTTCCTTACTTAGATTCTTTAGAATTCACTTTAGATGACTGTTTTCTTATATCTGCATAAGATAATGAAGGTAGAGGGTTAATTTACAAAATAGATTTAGCTAATAAATAAGTAGTTTAATAGCTAACTATATAACTTAGGAGTACTGTTTCATTCATGAAAAGAGTATCAGAAAGTACAAATGTATTCTTAATTGGTGGTAGCTTTAGCGAATATTCATAATATAATACTATCCCTCTAAATGAGGCATAATCAGGATTATTTTTTGTAGAGAAAGATTTTAGCAAAAATGATAACATTTTCATCCAAAATACCTATAATCTAGCCCAATAAAGTAGACTGGACATAGATTTCGGTGAAACTAAAATATTAGATTCATTAACAATTTCATGTTTGAATGGAAAAGCTATAGGTGCTATAGGATTTTTAGCAAGAAACGATTCATCATAACTAGAAAGATTATATTTCTGAGATGCTCCTGAATACTAAGACCTTAAATGTATAGGAGTTTAAATAGATAGTTAAATTAATTTAATTAGACTGGTTTATTCTTATTATTAAGAGGATGGAACAGCTGCAAATTTTAAAATTACCATTGGCAACAATATTTTTTAACCAAACTATAAGTCTTTAATTCTTTCACTAGCATAGTACTCGACGATAACAGATTTTAATAATATAGTGCGTGTTTAGCATCTCATTTTTTATTCTTTCGGAGATTTATTCTTTTATGGCGGCTACTTTCAATATACCAATTAATAAGCGGCTTTTTTAACAAAAAAACGAAATAGCTATTATAATGTTTATCAGTATTTGAATACACCTACGAATTTTAATTATTCTTTAATTAGTATTACAGCTTTACCAAGTTTAACTATTACGGGTTTTGTAAATACAACAGTCTATGATATTTAAAGTTCAAGATTTGTATTACCATCTTTGGAAACAGCATTATTTGGTAATTTGTAATCAAATAGTATTTGGCCATCAAAAGAGAGTGAATTCAATGGATAGTATTGGTTTAAGAGTCTTGAATTTACAAAAAATATTTCATGTAAAAATGCTCTTTATAGTGATTCTGGATGGAGAATGAATTGCACATTAGGTGTTAAATGTGAATCTGTGATAATTTAGTATTAAATTAAACATTGCTAAGATATCATATTCCCGAATTTCTCAATTCTGATTGAAGAGTAAAATCCTGATCCCATTCATAATATTACAAGCTAGCTTACTAATTTTACTACAAATTCCTCTTATATAGAGTTCACTTTAAATTTCATATTCATAGATTCACATTTAATTGGAGACCATACCTTACAAATTAATTTGACATTAGATGACGGTTTATACTAGTATTAATAAGATTATGAAAAATTTGTGATAAATATATGAGATTAATGTGTCTAAGATTTTGTAGTAATTTAAAATTTTTCAGCACCTAACCTTACTTATCAAATTGGTTCTGGTAATAAGATATATCAGATAACACCATTATTATATGCTCTAAATGAAAGTATCCATGTCAATGAATTCAAGATAATAGCGTAAAACAACTCAGAGTAAATTATCCTTGATTCAATACTAAAAAAATCAGATCTAAAGAATTATCAATTGCAAATTTTTACATCAAATAAGGCATTACAAGGATTATATTAGATAAAATTAATTTTTTCAGTAAAGAATTCCATTAATGGTAATTAATGTTAAGTTGATGAATATGCTTCAACTTTAAAAATTTCTAAGATATAAGATATTAATCCTTTGAGTGTATATACGACTAATAACAGTGCTCCATATTTTAGTTAAGAATTAGAGTCATTACTTATATATGCAGATTAACCTTATTAATATAAAATTCCTTAAGTAATTGATGATGAGGAAGATAACTTTTAGATCTCTATAGAATCTCCAATGAAAGAATTAGTTACTAAATAAGATAATATTAATAACTTGATTATTATAAAAGCATCTCCTCAACTTGAAGGTACATAAATATTAAGGATAATTCTCAAAGATCTAAATATTTCACCATTATAAAGAGCATACAATCTATTTATAACTGTCAAAATTTAATCACCAACAGAATAATCATTGAAAGAGGATATTAGTCAGGATATATATTTAGACTATCAGTTTTATCTTGAGTACTATTAAAAATTAGAAAAAAATATGGGGAAATTAGAGGCAAAAGTAATGTAAATATCGAGAACTGGGGAAGCGGTAATTAAGTTTAATAAGAAATTAAAATCTATTGATAATTACTAGTTTAAGCTTGAGAAAGCTATTAAGATTTTTTACTATGATTAACTTGTTGATATAGCGGATAATGATCTTATCAAATTTGAAATCTTTACAATAAAGCTAAACTAGATCCTGTATCTTTAACTTATTATTAATGACATCTCTAAAATTTCTTAAACTTCAGTAAAAACTCATTTTTATTTAACATTCTTAGAGCTGGGGAAAAATAATGTTTAATTTCAATTACAATTTTCTCTATGTTGATCAGAGTGAAGAATATATATTACCATAATAATACAAAATTTTAGCCGAAATTCCACCTCAGATTTCAACATGTAATTTAGCTTTAGTTTAATATTTAGAGGAGGTATAGCTGATTAATTCTCTTGGATAAAAGGTTGGAGGGACATTATATTGTATTATGGGTTCAAATTTAATAGTTAACCTGATTATGTAATTTGACAGTATTCATATTAATTTAGGTCTCAAAGTTTATAGGCTCTCTGGGGTATGATTAATAGCTTCTAATTGATTACACATTTACCACTTATGGTTATTAATATTCCTTCTAATACTGCGCTTTTCTATTCTCTTATAAACGAGATCTCTAGCTTTTAGTTCATTGAAGTTAACAAATTAAACTAGATATTATTTGAGGCGGATTTTATAAGGGATAACTAATAAAGCTATAGCATTTATTTTGAGTAAATGGGATATGAAACTACTAATATTATTCAGAATCTCGGTATGATTTTCTATCTATATTTGGGCCTATTAATGCTAATTATTTTAGCACTTTTCACGAAATTGATAAAGATGAATTCTAAAAAGTAGTTTAATTTTCATCATGATTAACGTTATAGATTAAAAAAACATCTAAAAAAATTTAGACAGCAAATACTTTACTCATTAACTTTTAGATTTGTTCTAGAATCTCTGATTGAACTGATTATTTGCTCTTCAATACATAAATATCAAGTATAAAAAGCATTCATTTAATATATAATTTAGTTTGATGAAGCTTCTGATATTTTTGCTGCAATTGTATCTGGAAAATTTTTAATAATTTGGGTGTCCCTACCTTTAATTACATACTAAATAACAAAGCGGGTATTTTATCAAGTTTCAAAAGCAAGTTTGAAAGCTAGATTCACAACTCTTAATGAGGGCTTGAAATAAAACCAACTCTACTTTTATACAGTCAGCATTTTAAGAAGAATAGCTTATTCCTTAATATTGGTATTATTGAGCTTTAGCTAGGGATTATAAGTTACTTTTATTATGCTTTAGAATATTTTAATGTGTGCTTTTGTGATACATACTAAACCATTTTAGAAAAATTCTTTGAATAATCTTGAAATATTTAACGAAGTTAGCATTTATATCATCTAGGTCATTATGATTACTTTTTCTGATAATTATGATATGGAATATAATCTTAAGTAATAACTAGGATATATTCCCATAGCAGGAAGTCTGATTTTTCTAATGGTCAACATTTCGTTTATATTAAAGGAGTAAATCGAACTAATTAAAGAAAAGATTTTCAGACAGAAAAAATAAAATTAGTAAAATCCAATTGTGATATCACTGAATTAAAAAAACAGATTATATAAAGATTCGGTTGATATTATTTTAAAAAGAGATGATCTCAACATTAATAAAGCAAGTTAATTTCAATAGAAAAATAACAAAAGTAAAATTAAGGATTTTGAACTTCTTACTAATGAAAATTATCAAAGCAATCTAAGTTTTATTTAAGATGAAGTTAGCTACCATATTGATGATGAAGTCATGAATAATTTCAGCAAATCAAAGATATTAAAATTCAGCAACTTAGATTTTAAATGAATGCATGAGAGAGACTAGATACATTTTACTATATATCTAAATCCATCATTATTTTTGATTAAAACTTAAGCTTTTGAAATTCAAAGTCAATCAGACAATAAAGCTACAATAATCTTATATTTAATAAACTATTCATAGATCTTAAAATAAGAGATTATTATGATGATTTGACTTCCAAAATGTTGATTAATATTTTAAAACCAGTATTGCCTGAATCAGCTAGAAAACACCAAATAAACTAAAATTTAGAAAATTTAGTTTTTTTAATTGATTTTAAATTAATATCATGAATTCTACATTAATCTCTAAATCCTGGGGTTTTGGGGTTTTGGGGTTTTGGGG